GGTTATTCATTATTTCTAAGCCTTTAATATGTAGAACTAAGAAATACATATGTTATGGAATATATAAAATAAAGCATTAATTCATACTAAAACTTCCAATTCAAATTCAGAATTACCAGGCTTTTTACTTATCTTTTTTGATATGAAACATGTATTACCTTTCTCCAATGCCTTTTCCACCAACACCAGCATAAAAATTCATTTGCTTTACACAACAATGTATGCACAACTTTCTCAGAATGGTAATATCAATACTAGCATCCACAATATGATTAGTGAAGGCAATATAAAACGGTTTTTGCAATTATTGTTGCCTTTAAGAGATATCCCACTTGGGAAGATAAGCCAGAATTATCTGTTTTAAAATAAATTAAATAATGCAACTCTGAGTAGCTGTAGAAGGCTTATTTGCTTCTCTCTTTCCACTCTGATTTTCTGTTCCCAGAGGAAACACTCCTCTTTTCAGATAAATGCTAGTGTGACACACCTTGGTCTTTCTCACATAATGTAACCTTGAGATCACTCTGTCATGGTATATAGAGGTGCTCCTGTTTCCTTAAATAACTATATGGCACACCATTGTATAGGTATAGGGTAGCTTAGTGAGATAGCCTCCTCTCAGTAGACATTTTAGGTGGTTTTGTGTTTTGCTATGATAAATTGTACTGTAATAAATAGCTTTTTGCATGCAATTTTTATGATTCTGCTAGTGTCTATTTAGGATAGAAACCTACAAGAATGATTTCAGAGTCCAATGGTAAATTTTATTGTTATTGTTTTGTTCACAAAGTCATTTCCACCTAAACTATTTCTTCACTTCCCAATTTCTCTACCTGCCTCCAGCCTCATTACATAGCATTTACCATATATATATGCCAAGATTTTGGATTTAAAATACAAATCTAATCATTTTACCCCTTTGCTTATAGCCTTTCATGATTTCATTATCTCTATGAATGAAACGAAGAGGAAACTATTGAGCAAGAAAGTTCATAACCATCCCTTGCTTTGCTTTCTAGCATCACTTCCAGCATTTCCTCTATATAACCTCAAGTTTAATTATACAAAACTTTTAGATGTTTCCAGAAAGACATATGCCCTCTCATGTCTTACTATAATACAAGGTCTGACAATTATGCTCTTTAAGCCATTGCAGCTATGTTGCTAACATTTTTTGATATCAGATGGGTTATTCATTATGAATTTGTACCACTGGATAAACAGTTAACCACATTTACTATTTGGAAGTGCTGAAAAGGCTGCGTGAAAAAGTTAGACAAAAACGACCTGAACTTTTCGCCAACAATTCATGGCTCTTGCATCACGACAATGCACCAGCTCACACGGCACTGTCTGTGAGGGAGTTTTTAGCTAGTAAACAAATAACTATTGGAACACCCTTCCTACTCACCTGCTCTCACCCGTAATGAAAGAGATATCCCACCTGAAGATAAAGAAAATGTTGAATGGAAGACATTCTGATGACATTCAGGACACAAGGGTAATATGACAACAGCTGTGATGTTACAAAATTGCTTTGAATGGTGGACTAGGCGCTGGGGTCAGTTCATAGCTTCCCAAGGGGAGTACTTCGAAGGAGACCATAGTGACATTCAGCAATGAGGTATGTAGCACTTTTTCTCGGATAAGTTCACGGACTTAATTGTTAGACCCTGTATATAGCCAAAAAAAAAGTATACACATTTTAAGAAAGGAAAACTGTATTAAAATTTTAATGCTCAGTATATACCAATAACAAAATATGAATACAAGTCACATTTGACTTCTACAATAACAAGAGGTGCTCAAAGTGGTTACCATCAGTGTCCAGACACTTCTGATTATAGTGAACTACGGCTTGAGCAGCGTTGACCACAGTGTCCACTTGTATACATTTTTTGCACCCCCAGTATACATATCAGACAGCTCCCCACAAAATATGGGTCAATATCCTCAGCACTTTATACAATATGCTCCATAAATGGCCCAATCTGACTTTCTGTTCTTATCATCCTCTATGCTCTCAAGCTGACACCCTAAAACAGCTCAGACACATATGTTTTACACCTTTAGGCCTTTGGAAACCATTTTTCTACCTAGAAAGATCTATCTATCTATCTATCTATCTATCTATCTATCTATCTATCTATCTATCTATATCTATCTATCATCTATCATCTATCAATCAATCTATCTATCTATCTATCTATCACCTATCTAACCTATCTTTTCTTATTAAAAAAATCTCTACAAAGTCTCCTCTGATACACTCTATGTGCTTTTCTCTGTTCCTTGACAGTGATTCATTGACTCTATGTGATCGCATTCTGCTACACTATACGAGAGTTTTCAATACCAGGTTGTGGCATGTTCTGTGGAATCCACGCAGCATCGGAGCCTTCCTCAAATGCTGGCTGAATTGACTTCACATGAACAGAGATTTGGGGAGTTGTAACGAATCTTAGAAACCTCCTGGTATGTGATACTTCGTTTCATATATTAGTAATTTGCAGTTCATAAAATTGTGAAAGTATTTACTTAGAATAACAGAAAAGCAATACAATCACATATGTACATCTTAGGTTTTCTCAGCTAGTAATAGCCCTTTGAATTTTTTATACTGATGTGTCAAGATCTTTTACCTCTGCTTTTACAAATGCTGCAAAAAGAGGCTCAAGTAAGTGTTTTCTATATGTAAATTCACACTTGGGATAATAGGAGGTATATCACAAGTCATATTTATAAAATGGCTCAGAGGACCAGGCATTCTGGATTAAAAGTGCAGGTGTTGGCTCTACCTTTACTAGTCACATTCTTATTCTTCACTGTTTTGTCTTCAGCATTGTTGATTATCATTTCTGTTATTTTTGAATACAAGCGATCTACTCCAGCCTCCACTTGCCTTCCTTGCAAACCAACTCCAAAACTCTTTCCCTTTTGGTGCATCTTAAAGACAGGTATGACATGTGGAAATATGTATGTCTCTATCTGTACAGATGTATATATATAGAGAGAGAGCTAGAGATATCATACAGAGAAATATAATTTAGTTAAATAAAATAGAATGAAGGTTTTAAGTAACTGGAAAAATAGAAATTAAAAAAAACATTAATATTTTGTAAAAAATACAGTTGTGTCATCTGTGGTCATATTAGCCAAGGTGTCATCACGGTGGTTAAATAAAAAATAAAACTTGTATTTATACCAATGGTGGCATTACATCATATTAAAAGCACAGAGCTTTCAATTTGGAGAAGAATAAAAGGTAATAATTTTCTCTTGCATCAGGCAGAGCTTCACTAGTTGCCCAACTAGGGGATGAGTTTAAAGATTTTGTGAGTTTTGAAATTTTAATTTAATTTAAATTCAACTGAATTTTATTATCTTCTTATGAGAAACAGAATGATATTATTTACAGCCTTGGTTTTTACATTGACAGAAAAGATAAAAAGAAAACATTTCACTTGCAAGACTAAACCCTTATAAACTGAAATGACACATGCATGATTTGCGTAATCCAATTACTCACAATTAGTTTTTGGTTTTTTGGGGGGTTTTTTTGGTCATAACAATCTCTGGTGAAATGTAACAGGAAAGTGGATAAAATAATACAAAAAAAATGTGATTTTAAGAGCTAAATTCAGAACTTGGGAAAACACTGAAGAAAACCACTCCGAAGTTTAAGTGGGGAACATTAAATGTTATCTACAAATTGCAAATATAGGTAATTGGTAATTTCTAATAAAAGGAGACTTGAGGGAGTAAAGGTAGTACACATTTCAAATAGTGTTTCCCAGGTGGGGCCCTTGTAAGCATTCCACATTCATTGATCAATTCTCCTTTTACCCCAAATGTTACATCAGATAAACATACAGCCTTTTAAAATGTATCCTTTTGTAAAATGTAATGGGAGACACTACTTTAGGTTTCTTAACTTTTAAGGAGAATCTCTCCCTGTAATGATTTCTCGGAAGCTTGTCTCAAACTGATGCAACCCAACTTTCCAGGCTCTAAAATGACATGATCCAACTAATGCCCCCCAAAGAAGTGTAAAGATTGAAAACGCTTTCTCTCTCAGAATTTAATGGAATTAGCGGATTGTTGCGACTGTCTAGAGCAGCAGACCTCAAACCATACAGAGGAACAGAAACCTGTCACTCATTGCTATCACAGTCATTCTGGTTTCCGACTCCATCCAACACAGTCAGGTGAAGTGAAGCCTTAAAAGGTGACTCTGGAGAGAAAGTGACACCATAGCTCCAAAACTTTGTAGGATAATTAATATCCTTCTACCCAATCAAAATTATTGACATCATTAATGGAGTGCTTCAGTCTTCCAGGAGGAACACGGAATGGAGTGAGTATTCCAGAGCCCCCGCCCCCCAAAAAAGATATGCATGAAAAATGCCCTAATTTTCTATCAGACCCTATGCCCACTGTCCCAAGCACTGTCCTTCCTATCCTCCTTCACCAGCCCCTGAACTATGTTCCTTCTATTCCTGAAGTGGGCCACAGCATAGAGGAAAAGTGTCCTCCTGAATGGAGACGAGAAAGAAATGAGTCTTCAATTACTTTTCCTACTGTACACTTCACACGGTTCTTATTCCCAGTTCTGCTTCATGCCTTTCAAAGAACGTATTCCAGGCGCCATTCAGTTTTCATTTCTCAGATTCTTCCCCATGTTGTTCACCACCCTAAACTTTGCTATTTAAATTAACTTTTTCTCCCTTCCCTAGGATGTTTCGGCTTCTCTGGGTCCGTTCCCCCAGCCTTACCTCCAATTCTTTCCTCCTAGGTCCTAGCCTCTTAGACTTGCCTCGGGCTGCCCTTTACCGCCTTTTCTCTTCCTCTCCCTCCCTGAGCCCCTTCACCTCATGCGTTCCTGTCTCGGCCTCTCCAGATTCCCGGGCTGTTTGCTGATGAGAAATCTCTGCTGCAGCGAGGACCGGAGTCCCCCGCGCGCAGCCCAGTGGCAGAAGAGGGTGAGGCTGAGAGAGAAGCGACGGCTGTAGGGAAGGGAGGCAGCCGGTCCTCCCCGCGGGCCTGCAAGAATGCGGCAGGGGGTCGGGGGCCTGGGGAGGCACTAACTCCCTGAGCCCCAGATCCGGGGCGCAGGCCTGGCCCGGGGGCCAATTTCCTGCCAAGTGCAGCCGAGAAGCAGAGGCGCCTGAAAAGCAAAGAGAGGGACTCTGGGGGTGCCCATCCCCAGAGTAGGTCCCTCTGCGAAGGGAGGAAGAAGAGTGGAGGGACTCAGTGAGCGGTGAGAAGGAAAAACCTGTTTCCCGACTGGCTCAGGAGCGTCGGGGAGACTGGGGCTCTCCGGTGAGCACCCAAGGGGTGAAGCCTGCCTAGCGGTGGGCGAGGGGCGCGCGGAGGGAGTGCGGCGCGCTCGGGGAGGGCACGCGGGAAGCGCAGCAGTGCTGCAGGCTTGGGGGGGACGTGAGGCTGTGCGAGCCGGGGAGCGCGTGCGGCGGCCGCGGCGCCAGTGTTTGTGTGTATGTGAGAAAGAGAGGGGCGAGCGCGAGTGCAAGTGAGGCAAAGAGAGAGCGCATGTCTCATCCCTGCGAGCAGCCACTAGACGCTCCACCACCATCTTTTGCATGTGCAACATTTGCAGTCGGACAGAAAACCTCTCCCAGGGCTATGGAGACTGCGGGAAAAATCTGGCAGCTCGCGATGGATTGCTAAAAGGAAAGAGTCAGAATCAGAAACCACCCGAACCTCTCTCATTTTTTTTTCTTTTTCTTTTCTTTCTTTTTTTTTTTTTTGGTTGTTTTTAATTTTAGCGCCATCGTCTTCAATGCCTCTCTGAACCGCCTTTAGGAAGAGTGCGAGAGAAAGAGAGAGCGCGCGCCAAGGAGAGGAGAAAAGAAGATGAGGATTATTTGCAAACAGATTGTCTTGTTATTTTCTGGATTTTGGGGACTCGCCATGGGAGCCTTTCCAAGCAGCGTGCAAATAGGTAAGCTCTGTTCTAGTGGGGTGTGCATGTGAGTGGCTGTAGCAGATATCCGAAAGTGAGTTAAATGAGTTGCTGATGAGCAATTCAGGGAAACCTTCGGCGGTTCCCTTCCCCTCTGCTTCTCTCTTCCTTTCTCCCCTTTACAGAAAGACTAGCTCTTTAGTGCAGGTTCAGTTGAAATATACACAGAATTGCCCACGTTCCGTCCTCAGCCCATACCCCCTATTTCCACCTTTGGTTCAAGTCGCTTAAGTAGGTTTGGAATAAGTTGGAAAAAAGCTCCATGGGGTTTGATTACATTTTATGTGATATTTCTTTTCATCCTTTTCTCTAGAGTATGAAGGGATGTCGAGTTTGTGGGGGTTTTTAAATATACTTCTTCCCATACTGGACGCCGCATCTTTCTGTTACAGAAAGGCACTGTTTGGGCAAAAAAAGCGTTTCCACCCTCACCCCCTGCCTTTACTTGCTACCGGTTAACCCATTTCCAAAGTTAGACCCCTTTCCTGGAACCTTCTTTCGTTTTATTTTGTTTTCCTCTTGAATCTTTTGCCCTTATTCCTCCATCTCGACTCTATTTCCAGGGAATTATCCATCTTTGGATTTTCTTGCTATTTTCCTCTCCTGTCTTAATGGGACGCAGCTATTGAATTTCTTCCAGCTAAGCCCAGCCTCAACACTGCATCATTTCTCGTGGACTGTGCACAAAACGGAGCTAATTAGGCTGAGTCCACCAGCTGCAGAAAAACAAAGTTCACGTCTCCTGATTTCCCTCTTCCCAGCGTGTCAACACATCCTTTCATTTCTGCATTTTAATGCAAATCTTCTTTTCTATTCATCTGCTTGCGTCTTCCAGAGAAATGCCCCCGAGCTGGTTGATGTAGCAGTGTGCTGGGAATCATGGGGAGGGCGAGAGAGAAAAAGGAAAACACACTAAATGGTCTCAGAGGTCATTGTGATCATGACAAATTGGGACAGCAAAAAGCTGAGCTGTCCTAAAAGACTAAAATACTAAGTGTGCCCCTTAGGGACAAAGGCCAGTCTCCCAAGATGTGGCAGGGACAGCTCCTTAATTGTATATGCTGGGGAATGGCAGTGGATTTGACAGCGCTTGAGGAGGGAATAACATTTACAAGAGGAAACATTGAATGTGCTTTTCCTGTTGTTTTTAATAGGTGGTCTCTTCATCCGAAACACAGATCAGGAATACACTGCTTTTCGATTAGCAATTTTTCTTCATAACACCAGCCCCAATGCGTCGGAAGCTCCTTTTAATTTGGTACCTCATGTGGACAACATTGAGACAGCCAACAGTTTTGCTGTAACAAATGCTTGTAAGTAAAACATACCTTGTGGATAAATTAGAAGAGAATTAACATGAAGCAATAAAGTGCCTTTCCTCTTTATTATTATATTTAATTTTTTTAGAAAGAAATTTAAGATTCCCACATATGGCTGGTTCGAGAGCAAATCAGAGTTAAAAACAAGATTTAGTCTCTGAAATATTCAGCTTGTTGGTTCTCTCTCTCTCTCTCTCTCTCTCTCTCTCTCTCTCTCTCTCTCTCTCTCTCTTTCTCTCTCCCCTCTCCCCTCTCCCCCTTTCTCTTTCCTTCCTTCCTTCCTTCCTTCCTTCCTTCCTTCCTTCCTTCCTTCCTTCCTTCCTTCCTCTTTTTTTTCATTTCTTGTCTGGATGATTCAAGTTAATTTCTTTCACATTTCAGTGTTACTCCTATCACCTGAATGTCAAGTCAGTGAAAATTGTACTCCATCTAGTTTTGATTCTGTTCCTTTGGTTTTTCTTATTTGCTTTTTACTTGGGTAAGCATATGTCTTGTTTTTAAAGAAGACACATGCTCTCTTACACTGATGAAGGCAGTGGAAGGTTTGCTAACAGTGAGAAAGAGAGGGGAGCGGTGGTGTGGAGGATACACGATATATTCTAGTCATTCTAGTCGGTTGGCTGAGGCTGCAGATGATGCGGTGATGTCACTTGAGGCTGCCCTACTCTTATATTCTGGGTTGTAAATGTCTCTTACTATCACGTAATGCATATATCCTGTGGATATATCTCCATGAATCCTTACCTTGGTGCCAAATCCTGTTAGTCTCCAATCCACCTGAATTCACAAACCAACCCAGCTGGATCTATTATACCACACAATGAAACTTAATGGGTGACCTCACCTAATTCTATAATGAGACTATTATACAGTGTTCCCCCACCAAAATACTGCATAACAATGTAAAAAATATAATCAACTGTAGATTAATTTACAACTCTCAAAAATATGATCAGTGAATATAGAATTTATATTGCATTTTTAACTTTTGAAGGAAATACGTGTTTCAAATATATCCTCAGGTTTACTTGCTAATTTACTACTGCTCAAAATTTATGTGTTAAGATAATGGTTATAAAGTACATAAGACATTTAGGAATAGTTTTTATATAAAATTTTTCACAACAGTAATCAAATGTTTAATCTAAATTGTAGAGTATTTTTATTATATAAAGTTGAGTATATTTTAATTTCAGAAGCTCTCTCAGTATAAGCAAGTGTACTGAACAAATAGGTAAAATTGAAAACAGAGTTTTTAAATGTTTGGAGGATATCTACTTCATGAATTTAATTATTTTAATTTCTATTTATGTGCTCTTAATTCATCTAACTGAAAATATGATCAATTTTCTTTAATTTTTGGCATCAAACTGTTACTTTATTTTAGAATTTGGCTTCATAAGGAGGTCAAATCATTTGACATTTTTATAAACTGACACAATTGTATTGTTTTACAGTAATACTACATTTCCTATGAGCACTACTTAATTAAAAATCATTTGGTATTTGGTGATAAAATCAATATCACATTATAAGAGGAGGGAGTTATTTTTAAGCAGAAATGCATATAAATGCATAGAACAAGGTTTGTAGATAGTCATTTTTGCAAATTTTCTGTTTTTGTTTTGTGTTCCAAGTTTTGAAAGGGATGTCAACATTTAAAATAGTTCTAGGTATAAAGTACATAAATATTATCTGTACATATAAAGTACATAAATATTATCTGTTGATTTAAATATTTTTCTTATGTCTCTCTTGAGATTATGTGAACAAAAAGTTACTAGCTTTAAAAACAATTAATGAACCAAATATATGTGAAGATACTTGGTCAACATTTCAATTACTATTTAAATATTAATTTTATTGTTAAATTTTGAAAAACTTTCTTCAAAGTGCCAGATATATTAGTTTTATTTTGTTTTGCTTTTACAAATTAGGTTCTTAAGTATTCTAAAGTTTATATTATGACTTCCAGCTTTATAAACTATAAAGTACTAATCCTTTCTTCCTCCATATCATTTGTTAATCTCATTCAGAATAATTTTAACTAGCATTATTTTATTTATGTAATGAAAATATTATATATGATAAAATAATACTAGTAAATCACCTCTAAACATGAGAAATTTATAAGAAGCTGCACACAGAATGAAAAAGTAGGAAAAGATATAGAATATAAGTAATATGCTATTCTTTATCATTTAGGATTGAGAAAATTGAAACTAAGTAAACTTTAAGTAAGTTTGCTTATTTTGAATCCAAGTGTAACACAATGTTAGTGATGCCATATTTTTCCATAATCATGTTAATTGATTTTGTGTACATATTTAAAATATTTTTTTTTAAAAAACATAATTGTGAAGAAAGAAAAAAACATTTTCTAGTGAAGAAAAGGAAATGTTTTTTGACAAAGGAGTATGCTGAGCATCCTTAAGGCAAACCTAAGCTGAATTTGGGAAAAATCAATCATCAGAGGGCATGGGTCAGGTGGCTGGTGTTTGTTGAATGGACTGACCGAGAGCATATATAGGAGTGATTTTCCAGCCTAATTAATGGTGAAACGTAAGCAGTAAGTATGAGGCAACCTCATAAATCAACTCTATGCCTTTGGGTACAAAAAGATAAAAGTAGTATTCTGAGGAATTAACCTGGAAATTATTCCTGAGAGTGATCCAGATGGGATTTTTAAATTTTTCATGTTGTATTAAATATAAAGATATAATATGTGACTGGCTAGGTTTATTTGAATTGTGAATTTCCTGCAGTGGATCCTTGTAAAACTGCAGGATCTAATCATCTGTGAATAAGGGCCATTAAAAAGGATATGTTTATTTTATGGAATGCACAATCAAAGACAAAAAGGCAAATTAAAGAATAAAGAGTATTGGTCATCTATTGGACAGAAATAATTTAATGTTGTTTCTTCTGTCTCAAAATAAATTTAGCACTCTAAGAATACTTTGGGCCATCTAAACATTTGTGTATAGAGTTAACGTACTACTTAAGTCTAAATCTGATTAACTCAAATTTACCACTTTTGGTATAAATCCTGTTTCTGAGGGAGGAAAAATAATTTTAGTTTATAGTTTTATTTTATTTTTAACAATATTTGTGTAAGATTAAACTAAATATTATTTTTTTAACTATTCAGTAGTTAGAAAGTCACACTTTGCTCAATGTAAAACTGAAATTATAAGAAATACAGATAATACAAAATTATGACCTATTTCAATAACAAAAAATAGGTATAATAAATAGAGCAAATATTAAAATTTTAAAATGTAATTAAAGGTATACATTTCTTTTGTTGTGATCTATCCAAAGTATGAGACATAGCAAAATGGATATTTTAAAGATAAACTCTGTTTATCAATGTTCTTTCATAAAATATATGATTGACCCAAAATAGCTATCTTTGCAAACAAACATGCTAGTTCATTGGATATGTCCTTTTCGAAAAACATTTGAGACAACCTGAAAGCAGGCTATTTTTTTATATTTTTCCAATGGTTAATGAATAGAGATTTTTTTTGGAGGATGATGTATATTAAATTTCACCAGAAGTAAAATTCAAAATACTTAAGTAGTTTATCACCAAGTTTTTTTAAAAGATAAAAATATTTGAGACATTGAAATTATTACTTTAGTACAATTACAGTAGAAATATGTAAAAGAATCAGTTCTTTAAAAAGGTAGTCCCTTTACAATATAATCCACAAATATTCAGTTCCTGAAATGACTCTTTTAAATTTTAGGTGAACAATAGGAACTACATAATAAAGCAGACCGAGCACTCATGTATTGTCATTTTGGTGAAATAATAAAAGAATTTTGTGGAATATTTCCAATGTTTTTAACTTGGATAGGAAGGACCAATATGTTACTATATTTTTTAAAAGATGGTTAGAAAGATGATGGGTTGCAAAGTTGTAACAATCACAAATAGACCGGATATTATACCCTAATAATGAAAAAAAAAAAAGCAGTTCTTTTTTTAAGTTAAACATTAGTTCTGTTTGTGGGCAGTTTACTTGTCAACTCTGAATATCCAAGATAAGTACTATTTGTAAAAGTAGGTAGGTTTGTAAAATATACTTGTTTAGTTAATCGAAATACATTGGAAATGTGACACTATATCCAGTATCCTCTGTAAGCATTCCTACTTATATAGTAGGTACTTAATAAAAACTCATTGAATTTAAGGGTACTAAATACTAATATGATATTTTGGTTTTAATTCAACAATGTTTAAATATGGTACATATTCCCTTTCAGAGACTTTAAGCCATGAAAAGACATGCTAAGAATTTACATGTCTGATATAATCTTAAAAATGCTAAAAATAAAATTCTGATGGTTTCACCTGCAAAGTTGTTAGTGGAGAGACATTAGAATTAAATACTGTTTAGCTTTTGGTTATTTTTAGGAAAATGAGTAATATGACTCCACTGTGACTCTCATTTGTTTCCTTATTTTGAATCGATAGCAAGATTCTACACCGATTTGAAATAATTTGTTAGTTTTATAATATTCTTTTTCTCGCCCTGTTAATTTTCCACTGTGAGATTGACAAAGATAAATCATATTCCTATGGTTTATCCCATTCTAAAATGATATCATGATGGATAATTTGCATTGATGTATTTCAGAATTGTCACAGGATTAAGCTTTCATAAAACTATTAGAAAAACTCCTTAAACTTTTTTTTAATCTGGATTTTTTTCAAGTAATATTAATTTACCAAAGAGGAAAATTTTTACTCTGGTACAGGGAAATGTGTATGTATTTTATATACAGCATTGTATTCTTGCTCAGGAATTTAAATGAAAAATAAATGCGATACATTTACATTTTATGACAACATATAGTTTTTAAATGCTTTGGTATACATGATGTTATTTAACCTCAACCTAGTCTTAGCATGAGACAGTCGGAGAAGATAGTGATTATTTTGCAGTTAAGGAGCCCAAGGTCATATGGCTAAAAAGCTGCAA